CCACAGAAGAGAAGACGGCGATGATGACCGGTACGACGAGGAGCGCGACAGAGAGCGCCACCGCAGACATCGTCGAGATGAAGACGAGTATGAGGACGAGTCAAGGCGGCGTGATGACCACCACCACCGCCACCGAGAGCGTGACCGCGAGACACTCGCCATTGAGGGCTGATTAGTACGGCGGAGGAAGATGTAAGAGGAAGCATGTAGCAGGAGATGATGATAGTTGTATGCGCGGAGGTTTGGTTATCTAACGGCAGCATTGGACGAGGAGCCCTTGAAAGCGAGAAGCGTATCTTTTCATTGAATTTATACATCTTTTTGTCTTATTTTCTTTTCACGGATTTGGGAAAGCGAGAGATCTTTATGACTTTCACATGTGGCGTGATTGGGTTAAGCGGCTATCAGGTCAATTCCAGAGATGAAAATACCATTGGTTTTGCATATGATACATCCCATCCACTTTTTACTTGCTTGGCCACGAACGATTGACGCCTCCGCAAAGGAGAACGGGGTCTCTAAGGACTGAAGGAGCGAGACCAGAGGTTTTGGGGGGTTAGAGGGCCCAGAAATATTGGTCTCGTGAGGTGGTTTGCGCGAACTGGTCTTAGAGTTCGCGCGAACACCATGACGTGCGGAGGTTAGCTTCGTGGGTGAGGGGTTTTGTGGTGTTTGGTCTGGGCCGGAGGTGTGCAGCCGGCCGGCTTCTTGGAGCGGGTTGGGGGAGGAGGCGTTGCGGGATAAGCTTGAGAGGCGTCACTTTGGATTTGACGACTTGTCGTTAATGATTTGCTCTCTCTTCAGCCCTCGATTTGGATGGATAGAAGCCTTGCGTAGTCAGTCTGAATTTTTCGCAGGTGGGATTAAGTGAGGTGTCACAACCTGTTTGAGGCAGCGAAAGCGACTGATTTGCTAAGGTTTATGAGGATTTGGAATCCACGCCGGTGAGGGGCTTCATCTGTGGAAATACTCCCTGCCAAATTATGATGGCTAGTACAATTGTACAGTACTCAGGTACCTTTTGCCCTCGGATGTTTGGCTGTTTGGTAGATTCTACTTCGGGGTCTGTTTTGATCTTGCCTTGAATTGCCGGCACTTGAGTCCTGTTGACTTCTTCCATGTAAAAAGGGGTTTGAAAGCCGTGAGGGTAGTGGAAATAGAGGCATGTCCCGTGATACGCGACGCTTTTCCCTGGAGCTTTGGTGTAAAGTAGACGATCATAATGCTCTGTTCGATAAGGTGCCAGATGGAAACAGTGCCAGATTGGGAGATAGGCGTAAAGGCTTTCTGATCCGGGAGGCCCGCCGCCCTCCGGCCGGGTGTGGGTGGGTCTGCGAATATACGGAGGCGGATGCGGGACCTCCGGGGCGCCCGAGACCCCCCTCTTTACAATCTACGCCTTTGTCGCAGATATGCTGGAATCCCAACGTGAAAAGAGAAGCGTATCGCGCAGATGGAGGAACTCTGCGCTATCCCCAATGTCAAGGACCTACAGATCTTTGGCCTTGAGATCGATACCGCGAGATGACTGGGCTATTTATCAGACTGATCGGGGAAGGAAACGGTTGGATGCGATGACTACATCTTTTACTTCCCGCCCACCAGTTGCAAGTTTTCCAACAACTTCCTGGGTCCTGCTTGCTGGAAGATGAAGTGATCATTGAAAAATGGGTGATTTTCTTAAGGAATGTGCCCAAATTCTACTGAGATTGTGCATTGTCGGGAAACCACTTTTCAGCGATGGACAGGTGATGTTGAAGTAAACCCATGCAGAAATCGACATGCAACTCTCCCGCGAAAATACGAGATAATGCATCCCTGCGCGGTTCGCTACCTTGTAAAGGAAAGTATAGAGGGGGGGATGGAAGCCGGCAATCTTGTACCTTCCTAATGCATATCTGCCAAGAATTAGCGACATGATACCACATCCGTTTTTCTACACATAAAGGCTTCGCGAATCCTCGATCTTGTAAGAGATGTAGACTCAATTTCAACGTCGTAAACAGCTTTCTTCTTCGGACTGTGGACCTAGGATAAGATAAGACCAGAGGACAAGATGAGGATCTCTCACCTGCTAGGCCTCCTGTCGGTCGTGTCCGGCACCCTAGCCGCGACCTTCAAGTCCTGCACCGCCGCCCAAATAGTTACCCTCGAAGCGGCCATCGAGCGGGCGACGAACAAGTCGTTTGCGGCGATTGAGCATCTGGAGGATAACCCCAACGGAAGCGATGTCCAGACGACGTGGTACGGCACGTTTAGCACCGACCGCTATAACCGCGTGTTGACGGCTTTCAAGGTGCGTCTTGGCGGGGCTTCCCAGTCTCATCGGAAGAAAGAGAGAAACGCGATGGGCTTGAGAGTTGACGTTGTTGAAAACAGAAATTCGCGCCTGATTTGGCCACGACGTTTTCATACGATTGCTCGTGTACCAGCACCGCTGTCTACGCGACTATTGGCGGGACGTACGGCGACGTCAGAATTTGTAGTGTGTATTTCAATGAGGCGATGCTTCCGCCTGCTGGACGGCATCGGAATCAGTGGGAGTGAGTTCATGTCCTGACCTTGAGGGCACCTGTGTCTTCTCATAATCGTGAGGAAGATGGCTGTGTCTGACTGAGATTCTGATAGTACCATTATCCACGAGGCGACGCACATGCGAGATGTGTTGGGAACGACTGACTACGGGTATGATGTCGACTACTGCAAGCAATTCGCGCTTGAAGATCCCGAAAAGGCGGTTAAGAACGCAGAGTAAGTGACAAAAGTACTCTTACTTCAGGTAGAAGCAACTGACATCTTCCAGTAACCACGCCCGCTTTGCTGTTGAGGTGCCGCCCTGGGGTCCCTAAATGAATATGTCCGAGTCACCACCAGGCCCGTCCATGTTCACTCTCACAAACATGCAACAAGCATGATACCCTCTATAGTCAACAAATCTGTCTCATACCATCACCGGCTCATGTTTAAGATTATGGGGAATATCAGGTCGTCACTGAACTATTCCGCACTCATGGGCTACGAGTCTGTGTCTCGTGGAAAACCCTTGCATCGATATTCAATAGTGTCATATACATGTATGAGATCTTCGTAGGTCCCTCGTAGGAGGGGTTGAGCCTCCAGTCCTGTCTTTTTGGTTTGCCGTCTTTGAGGAGCTTCTTCCTCGAGAGCACCGGTCTTGGGTGCCTTCGGCTTTTTTGATATACACGTCAGCAGAGAGAGTCCGCGATCCCTTTATGGGTGCAAGTGGGTGGAAGGGTCCGCCTGCACAGGCATAAACCGCTTACCTGCCTACCCACCTATTTTATCCCAACAGGCTTACTGACCTCTTAATGGGTCTCTGAGATAATAGGAAAAGTAGGAGGTCGTTTTGCGGGATTTGTCTTCTCGTCCACCTCGGCGGTCGTAGTCTGGTTCCCCTTTCCCTTCCTCTTTTTAATGATATCGGGGATCGCAATAGAACCTTGTCCCAAGGTGTCACCAGGTATCACTCTGTAATTATTCTTCTCCATAATACACAAAAGATGACCACTTCGGTCTAAGATGTGCGTCTTGATTCGTAGTACTGCTCTTAATGCGCTCTAGAAGCTGGATGCTTCCCCTCTTTGACAAATGCATTGGCCCCTTGCCTGAGATCATTTCTTTACATTGAAGACATATCATGATGAAAGTTTCAAGTCTCTTAGGTGTTTGGAATGGGCCTGGTCTCTTCACAATATATCATGGAGTCAAAGGATTGTGTACACCAAGGCCCACTAGTTCTTTTCATGGCGGGAATTTTCTTCGCAAGGCCCAAACAATTCACTCCATCTTTACACAAGTATTACTCCTCAAATTCAGCCTCCAGGCAGCATATTTGGCCTTCGGTATCAAATATACAGCCGGCCTTAGGACTAGTGCCGATTGACCAATTGCTTGCCGCATATAATGGCCTCATAGAAGCTATCAGCGGGGAAATCCCACAGCAAGACTATGCAACTCCGTAAGAGAGCAGCTCTGCTGGGTTTTTCCAACCTCGCGCCTCCTACTCGACCACTGTGTTCCTCGGTAACAGTTCGGAACCTGCCAAGTACCATTTGGGGCAGCATAAGAACGGCAAAAGATCATCCTTGCGGAGATGTGAGCTCTCGTCAGCCTCAAAACGAATTCTTGTCCTTTCCTTGGTTTCAAGCTCCACCTCTTGATACTCCATCTCCAATTAGGCCACAGGAAGGTTTCTCAAATCGTTCTTTGTGATCGCTGGAGACCTGTAGTGCGTACTCTCACTATTGATGAAGCCATAGCGGTTGATGACGGAGCGGCTCACGCATAGCTTCAATAGCGGGTAAAAACGGGAGGTTGAAGGGAACAGAAAGCGATGCAAGAATGTTCGTAGTCTGAAATCGAAGATATAAAGTTTCGCCTTGAAGTTACGAAGTCACCAGTGCATCAATCAAGCCACGAAGTCTGTCGAGTTTGATGATCTGACGAATCCTGTCCGCCACAAAACTCAAATTGTCGTGACTACAATGGTGTCAACCGGTCTCTAACATCGAGAACCTATCATCTTGAGAGTCACAAACCGTCTGGCTGCCTGGAAGCGAAAAACGATATATGTCCCGAAGATCTCTGTCCCGTCGGAATGCCTTTGACAACCTTTCTCCATCATATCCCTCTTGTGATGCCCTGATCTGTCCTATGATGTAAGATCCATATACGCTGCTCCAATCCTGGAGCTTCGCTTGTAGATAGGTAGCAAATGGAATTTGTAGAGCCTTGACGGCCTTGCTCCGCTAAGCACCGTTTCGGCCACTCCTTTGAAAAGGCTGAGTCTGGGAAAGCAACCTTGTGGACTTCTCAACGAATTTTCTATTCGAAAGCTTGAACCCGCTTCTTCCCACCAATGTATATAAGCCCATCTTCTGCCAGACTCTTCCCTCTTCCCTTGCTTCCTCTGTCAACTTCTCACAACCGTGACTTCATCTGTCTTGTATACCAGAATCACTCCACGAAAAACCTTCAAGATGAAAAACATCACCTTCTTGGCCGGCATCCTACTGGTCTCTGTCGGGCCCTCCCTCATCAACGCCGACACCATCAGGGATCCGCGTCCGACAACCACAGCCGTGGCCGAGGATTCCTCCCTCGCGAATATTCCCCCTAAGCTCATCCTCGAGATCCTCAACATGAAGAAGAAGGGAAAGGGGAATAAAACTACGACCGCCGAAGTAGGGGAGAAGACTAATACCGCCAAGCGACCCCCTACTTTACCCATCATCGTCGAGACCCACTACGAGCTCATCAAGCCAACGGCACCCAAGACCGCTGCTGTCAAGAGAGATGCCCCTCAGCCTACTGCCCCCCTCCAGGCGCGTGAGCAGCGAAGCGATGAGGCGGATGAGAGCACCGAGTCCTCCTCCCTCTGCACGCACAACAAGTGCCCCAAGGAGATGGAGGTTCCCCGCACCCTCGAGCCTAGGCAGCAGCAGGAGACAGGCGACGTCGAGCCCTCCGCTGACGAAGAGGACGCCGATGCCTACAAAGACTGTCCCAAGAGGCGCTCGCGCAAGGCCAAGATCGCGAGTATGGCGGCCACCAAGACCCTCGAGCCCAGACAGCTGGTCGTAGAGACTGCCACCGCCGAGCCCTCTACATATGAGGACGCCGATTCCTACCTCTGCACGCACGAAGACTGCCCTCATAAGCTTGCGCGTCTGGTGAAGCCGTGGGCCAGCAAGACCCTCGAGCCCAGACAGCTATATGTGCCGACTAGCACTGTCGAGCCCTCTGCGGATGAAGAGGAGGAGACGGAGGAGAAGGATGATGAGTACTACGCCCAGCCGCCCCCTCGCACCCGTCGCTTGCGGTGCAAGGGCAGACACAGCAGAACCGCTTCCAGCACGGCGACTCCTACTTCGTCGACCACTTCGTCGACCACCTCGTCTGCCACATCGTCTGCCACCTCCTCCAGCATCGGCACCATCACCGTCACCGTGACGCCAATTGCCGCCACCACCACCACCAGCTCAAGCTCCTCCTCCTCCACCACCTCCTCTGCTTCCTCCACTTCCACCACGGCACCTGATGACACCGTCACTCGCACGACTACCATCACCGTGACCGCGGACCCGACCTACACCCCGACTTACATCCTGAAGCCGTACCCGACGACCTTCCGCAAGGTCCGAGCTTAGACACGGTTCTGTTGGAGTGTTAATGATAGGTGTTCGTTTGTCTGTTTCGTAGGTGTAATGAAGTACAGGGTAACAAAGAAAATTATGGTGTTTTCGGGGTTCTGTTGGCCAGCTTTTCAGCTGTAGCAGTCAATTTATCCTTGGTACGCTCAGTGAGATAGGTCATAGTGAATCCAAGTATCGTTAAGTAATACCAGATGTTGTCCATACCGTGAATAATTGGTGTGATCATGTATTAGCTATTTTGATTACCGGCGTCCCCTCCTTGCTTTCATACCGTCCATCCCACGACCTCACGACCAAAGCTTCTGAATCAAATACTCAACCGCCTCAGCGCGATACGTATCCGGCTGAACATGAACCAAGTCGGTAACATTGACATCGAACCCCATGATCTCAGGGTTCTCAACATCATACCGCGGCCACTTCACACCCGTTGCGCCAGCATTCGCATTCGGATCCCCCTTGGTGATAAATCCAACCCACATCCGCGACATAATCTCCGCCAGCGCCTTGAACGTCTCAGGCTTCCCCTCAAACGGATTCACCGCCACCGCCGTCTCGTACCCCAAACCACCCGTGTTGTTAAACACAAACGCAACCTCCTGGAAGTGGTTCACTCCCTCAGCGAGCGTCATGCCGTTGACGAGCACGTTAAAGTTGTACGAGTACACGCTCTGGTTCCCCCTTGGTCCGGCCCAATTGCGCGCAAAGAAACGACGGGGGCCATGCTGCGCGCGGTCGCCCGCAAACGCATTCACGCGCTTCCACATGGCTCCGAAGTTCGCCTGCGCACCGCTCGGTCGGCCCTGCAGCGTCGCCGGCGTGCCGAGGCGCGGGATGTCCGGGTACAGCGCCGAGAGGACCTCGATCGTGAGGTTACCCGCCCCGCCGGAGCGGAGGTAGGCTTGCCACTGCGCCGTGGTGTTGACGCCCTTTACGCCAAACTGCGTGCCCTCGTCCGAGTTGGCGCCGATCAGCAGCGGCACGCGCGTGAATTTCCCTTCGTTGACGAGCTCGTGGCGCGCAGCCTGGAGAAACTCGCCGTCGACGACGCCGGTGAAGGCCGGGTTCGTGGTCGTGGTGTTGAAGACATCGCTTAAGTTCCAGGCCGGAACGCTACGAAGGCAGGAGAGGGTGTCAGCCGCCGCGGAGCAGTTCGTCTTGTTGACGATGGTGTCGTAGTAATCCTGCCACGTAGCCGCAGACGACGACGCCTCCACCTCGCCAAAGTCGGTCCCGAGACCGGTGCCGCTCTGCAGGATCGCGGCGCGGTAGAGCCCTTCGTCCCGCCCTCCGTAGGCCAACATCTGCGACGCCACGCTGCGGGAGCCGGCGCTCTCGCTCCATAAGGTGACGTGCGCCGGGTCGCCCCCGAACGCGGCAATGTTCTCGCGGACCCAGTGCAACGCCAGGCGCTGGTCGCGGAAGCCGAGGTTGCCCGCGCCCTCGGCTTTCATCTCGTCGCTCCACAGGAAGCCCCAGGCGTGCAGGCGGTAATTAATGCTGGCGGCGACAAATGGGGAGCCCATGCGGACGCCTTGCTCGACAATGAAGGAGAGGTTGTAGCGCGGGTCGGCGCTGCCGCCGTTGGTGAGGCCGCCTCCGTGGATCCATACCGCGACGGGGAGGTTTGCGTCCGCGGCGACGCCGTGGGGCCGGACGACGTTGATGGTCAGGCAGTCTTCTGATACGTGGTTACCGAGGACCCAGGTGTCGCTTCCGTAGCCGAAGCAGAGCGGAGAGTACTCCGTCGCGTTGCGGGTGCCGTCCCAGGACGAGTTTAGGGGCTGGGGGACGCGGAAGCGGAGGTTGTCGACGGGGGGTTGGGCGTACGGCATGCCGAGGAAGATGTCCTGGTCATGGGGCTCGTTGTAGACGCCATAGTAGGAGCCGTTCTTGAGGTCGACAGTGGGAACGGTGCCGGTGGTGGTGTTTGCCGGGACGACCTGTCTCGGGACCAGGGCGGACACCGTGGCGCAGGCCGTGTAGAGAGTGGCGAGCAGATTGAGTCGGGTCATGTTGTCGTTGTCCGGGAGCTAAGTTGAGGTGACCGACGATGTCTTGACGAGCATACGCTGCAGCTGTCGTCTCGTCAGGTCACCGGGGCAGTCTTCGGCCATTATGTACTTGAGCGATGGGCTGCGGGCCCGGGAGAAGGTCGGACATTGGGCCTCTGGGTCGTTCTCCATGCTGCGAGATGAAGCCCACCATGGCTCGACCCCTCGAGGGTGATGGTCCCGGCGTCATGCCACGAGGCTAAGGTCGGCAGGGGGTGGCCGGGGATGGCCTCTATGCTGGTGTAGTGGGCTACGTCACTTTGTCAAGAGAAAGACGAAGTCCGAAGCGGTCGTTTACCGTAGTACCAAAGCCGTGGATGCCAAGGCCCGGGGCCATGGTGAAGAAGAAGAAAGAAAAAAATCAGTAGCTTATTTGTCGTTGATGGAGACAGAGTAACATGGCATGACAGGTTCGATCCAATGAGCTGGGTTGGACTACCCCGCAAACGCTCCGCAAGAATCGGCCCTACCCTGGTACTTGGGGAGCATTGCGGAGGGATTTGGGGTTGAGTGGTGTGGGGGAGAAATAGAGAAGTTTTGACAAGACTCGTGAGGAATGATTCTAGGATTTTTGAGTGCGGTCAACTCCCGAGGGTACTAGGGGTACCAGATGAACGGGGTGCGATGCCGGGAGGATGTTTGGCTTTGGTTAACGTCCGAGTTCCGAACCACCTGTTTGCCCCAGCCGAACATGCAAAAGTCGCTTTGTACTAACACGGCATCGTCCTGTAATTCGACCTTGGGGGAGCACTCTGCTGATGGCTCGATTCACTAGGCTTAAGTCCAGCAATGTCGATTCTGATCAGTAGTCTTGGCAGTGCTAGCTTGACTCCTCGAGTCAAATGTATCAAGACTTTGAGCCAATGAATTACTCGACTATCTAGGGTATGCATAGCCTAGGTGCCAGACTGGAGCCGCAGCATTTCTCCGCGTTTCTCCGCCTCCTCGTCGTGGAGAATCCGGCACACAAATTTGGCCCCCGATGTCCCGGTACTCTGGTTTCAGTTCGGGCCCGAAGAGAATGGCTGCCAGCCTGGGGTTTACAGACGACTTCTATGACAGAAACTATTCTCTAAAAATTGAAAATTGGCTATAGTCTTCACTCTTCTAGAATGTAGACTAAGGAAAATAGAAAATCGTTATGGAAGAAACCAAATTTGGTCGGCTCGTCGGGTCGGCTAACACCCCCATCCACAAACTCCGTACTGTGCCATTGACGGTCAAATCAACGCATTGACACCGTCCCCGGCACACCGAGAAAAGCGGGGACCCGAGCACTCACCGAAACAAAAACCAATGACGACATGCCGTCCGCTCCGAGGCCACGGCCCCGAAAACTCGGCACCAGCGCTGACGACAAGGGGGTCCGAATCTGGAATCCTTCCGGCCACCATTCAACGTCCTCTGACTCCGATCAGTCACAGTAGGGGGGTTTCCTCTTCAACAACTCGTAGGATCAAGATTATCTGGATCTGAGACTGATCTCGACGACTGTACTACAAATCTCAAATCCCGAGTCTCTGTAAATCTCTCATTCCTCACGTCTGACCCCTCATCACTCACAACATTCACAGATCAAACCCTCACAATCTCACCTCACTTCACCAACCACGATCCATACGGTTCACGCCTATTCTCCCCATTCAAATAAGTCCCGCCAAAAATGCCTCCAAAGGCCCCCAAGCCAAACGGCACCTTCACCTACTGCGTCGGCTCCAACCCGCCCTTCACGCCCGAGGAATACGCAAGCGACCCTACCCGCCGCCAACGCGCCCTCGACCACCTGGCCAAGAACGACCTCTACGCCGCCACCGTCGTCACCTTCAACCTCCCCGAACGCGACACCTACGTCTACCACGCCATGACGGCCGTCCGCCTCGCCGAGGTCCAGCGCGTGGTCAGCATGGGCGGCGTCAACGGGTTGCATGCGTGGTATCGCGACGAGGAGGGGAAGCCGGTATGTTCGATCAGTCTCTGATGCCCGTTGTCTTTTGTGTTCTGCATATTTTCCCTTACTTTCCCTCCATCGGCTAGATATCAACCTTCTCTGGCATCAGTTTAGTGTTCTCGACACACTCACTCCCATTCTTCCTCCCTTCCTCCCCTCCCATCCTTGATACCACCAGGCTCTTCTCGCCCTAACCCCCCCCCCCCTTTTCACCTCTCGAACAGCTCTCTCCTTTAACTCTCAGCACCCTCATGAAACCCATCACATAATGCTCAAACATTATTGCTTTCTACCTGTCTCTCATCCTCCACTTCCTCACCGTCTCTCAC